TCCTCATTAGCGATATTGAAAATACTAACACAAAACCAACTGCTATGAAGTTGCAACTACTGCCTGTGTAGACTTTGCCAATTGTATAATTTACAACGAAAATATAACAATTTGTGGCAAGGAGTAATCTTTATATATATTTATAGTGCTGATACTAATTTTAGACGACATAAAAAATTAACCTTGAATCAGAGAGAAATCCAATGAGATAATTCAATCTTGCTCATTTTGAGGAATGTTGGGCTAATGACAAAACAAATAAAAGGCCGTTCTTACAAAACAACAACAAGAAAAGGAAAAACGTGTAAATTATTACTTAATTAAGCCTCTGTTCTGAACTAGGTGTTGCTGATATCCCCTTTAGTATTGTGGATTTGTGGACAACTCCAAGTTAGCTTTGTCTGTATAAGTCTTAAGCCCACTGTCTGCATGTGTGATATTAAGCCTTTAATATAGATCATGATCATTATAGAACTATCCAGAAACCGCCTTGTTTTTGTCTGATGTTTGTACTGACACTTCCATCTTCCATGTCTTTGTACTAAGATAGGAGAACCTTTTATTCATCCCATGTTGGGGAATGTAAGTGTTGCAGCGCACGGATCAAGGGCAGTATGAATTTTGAACAAACGCACAACGATAGCCACAGATTATTGTGAATTTGTGATATTTGAAGGACAGTTATTCAAAACTGTCTTTTTTTGTGTTTTTGTTTTTTAACCATGTCAAAATGCAGTTCACCTAAATGCATATATTTTAAATTCTTTACTCTAATGAATCCTCTCACTATGATGTGGACAATTTAGCCATTTTCTACCCTTTGAAACAAAAGTATTAGTTTTGTGATTCCTCCAGTCGATTTAGTATCTCCACAAAGGCTTGCCTCCAATTTGACGTTAAATCTTTATTTTATAATCAAAATATAATCAAAATGTAATTAGTTAGTCCGTCTGGATTGAGATGTTCCACAAATACTTCTACATTTTCTCTACCTGAAATCTATCTTCATTGCCAATATGAAAAAAAATAATGCGTCATATTTTTTATTTCAAGATTTTCTAAATACAGTGCCAAGACACAAGTCCAGTATACTTTTGGATTATGTACAAATAGCTGTGACCATGTTTATTCACAGAGCAACATATGGGCTGGAAGCATCCAAATTATTTTTGACAACTCCAGTAAAAAGAGTCCATCTGTTTTATGTCTGCTGCAGCTGCGTAATGCATCCAACACATATAAGTTTACCCCAGACAGATAGCTCAACACGCTCCGGTTTAATCCATGCTCGGGCTGGGAGGGCAGGGGGAGATTTGGGTGGTGGGTGGTGGGGGTGGGGGTGGCTGCTGGCATCTCTCCTAGACGGGGGCGCGACAGGATACGGCGCAGAAATAACCCCACCCTACTGCATGATACAGTCCGGCTAAAAAGACCAGCTTGAGAAAGCGTGTCCAGAGCAGAGGGAGAGATAGGCCAAGGCTGCATTTGTGCGCAGGCCCCACCCATGCGCAGCCCCGTGCCCTGCGATAACAAACCAGTGATACCAGCAGCGTTTAGGGCCTGTTTTGATTGTTGAGGCATTCCTGAAGACAACTGGCCCTCCGCTCCTGCCATGGCACACGCTGGCATGGCTCTACTGCTGTTTAAAGCAATTTATGGGGCTACTGCATTAAGGACTCAGACACATACTTCATTTCATAATTCTATTTATCATTGAGTATAGTGCATGATTTTTGTCACAAAACAATGTTACACAAATATAACAATTACCATAGTGACAACACGATATCCGATAATATCAATGTTTGCATGTTCACTATGGATGAAATGCTAACCAACCCTACGGCAGCTGTTCTGTTACAACAAATAACATGTTTTAGTGTTAGGTCAGGTCAAGTTACAGGAAATGTAATGAATGGGACCTTGTAGGTGTTCCAGCAGAACAATATGTGCTCCAGACAGCCAACAGAATATGTAAAGTACACAGATTTATATACATTTTTGTAATTGTGTAATTGTTTTAGTAAGATTTAACTTACTTCTGTCATTATATTATTAATTTGACGACAATTACAATTAAGCTTAGTTACATTGCCCACAACAATTAGCCTGGCTAACGCCAGACTGCTGTGTGCGCTGGCGTTAGCCAGGCTACACAACAATAGTTTTTCGTACAAATTTGTAGTATTTAAATGATTGCTGTATTATGTAGCCTAGTATTTGACAATGATACTGACCGTGTGTGGGTGCGTCCCATCACAGATGCAAACCCACAGGTTTAAGATCGGTCACTGCTCACAGACTTAAAATGCTGACATTTAAAGCCATAGGTTTTCTAAAAAGTTTGTCTCTTTTAGGGCTCACACAACCTTTATTTTCCTCACGGAAGAGTAACCTTCTCAAGCCACCCCCGTAAATGAGTCATATTAGATTCTTATAATAATAATCTTTTGTGACATTAGCGCTGCTCTGAGCATTGTGTGTGATTGTGCTTTCAGTAATCAATCTAATTGTTAACAACTTTATATACAGACTCAAATATAAAATACCCTGAAACAACTCAGTGACAATTGTAACAAAATACTTTTACATTTAAATGCATGTTCAACATGTGTTGTAAAGTTCAATCTGGTCACATGTGGAAAGAAACTGTTAGAATGGACCAGCTTCGCAAGGAGTGATATCTCCTCCCAGAGGGAAGAAGCTGGAACATGGCCTTCCCAGGGTACCCATAAGAGCCACTGATGATTATAAGAAATCCATTTAAAAATCTGAACAGGCAGCTCACAGCTCTGTCCTTTTAGCAGAGCGGATCACCAAGACTGAAACATTGTCGATGAAAAATGTAATGCCATACAACATTTAAATGGAATTCAGCAAAACGCAAATCCTCCACCAGGACCCCGTTTGCTCGCAGGTGTTATGCCTTTGCTTAGCATGCACTTGGTGTCTCTGCTTGGAACCATCCCAGCCGCAGATATCCATGCCTCTTGCGGTGGCGGAGTGGGAGACGCGGGTCCACCGTCTAAGTTTAGGCTGGAGTGAAAGTGGAGAAGGTTTACTGATGTCTGCTAACTCCACATGCAGGTTCAAGCGCCAGGTATTCTCACTTATGGCGGAGAAAGATAAACGAGAGAAAAGCGCTGCCAATCTAGTGCACAAACTGTACATTTTGGGTTTAAAGATGTTGTTGATCTAGATGACACGCATTTATTAATTTTATTTTAACCTTTTTTTAACCACGAATAATATAAACTGTATAATTTACTATTAGTAATTGGTGAATTTAGAGAAAGAGTTCTACCATTCAAATTTTTAAAAATGCCCTTCTTAAAAAACAAACATCTTATAACTTAATGATTTCATTTGTATCACACATTTGACATCACAAATTAAGATTTAAGAAGCGTGTTATGTCAACAATTTGAAATGCCAACATCAATATTCTCACGATCATGTGAACGGGTCAAGAAGGCCAGGAAATGATTGAAGTATTTTTTTGTTTTGCGCCCAGAGCTCAAAGCTGTTATTACGCTTGAGTTGTCTGGGACTGTTGTAAGGAGAACATTCCAGCACTTTCCCCCTCAGATATGGCCACTACTCGGCCTAATTCAGTTTTAAAATATTCCTCAAATCCAGGCCACCCGTGCTCCAATGTAGGTCGTCTTATTTTCTGTTTTTAGTGATATTTCATTAATTATTTAAATATATTTTGGTTTGGTTCATTTTAAAGGAAACTTATTGTTGAAACACTAGAATTATTGACAACATGACACAGCATCTCCACTCTGTCCTTTTCCTAACCCTGTAAAAATGTGAATCCCTCTAAAGTAATTACACAATAATACTGCTATTACCCATTGAATGATTGACTAAACAACTGAAGGTTTACACACTTGTCTTTCAATAATATTTTTTGTGATGAGACATAAAACTTATAATAAATTAGGGCTGTTTTGTTGTGGCCCTAATAAAAAAAATATATAGTTTGTGTATTTTGTTTATACTTGGATCCCTGTATTTATCATTTTCTTTGTGGAATGTTGGATTGAAGCTGTGGTTATTTTTTCTATATTTATATTTTATGTTATGGAGGTATTTTATACAAATACTTGAGTTTGGATATTCTTTTCTGAAGCTGATGGAAACTGCACTGACCTCGAGTTTTCTTTATAATCCACGTTAATATCACGTCCTATGATAGTATAACAATTAGAATTTTGAATGGCGCAGGTGTATCAGGCAGTTTAAGAAAAGTTATAGGGGTAATTTTTCCAAATACTTTTTTTCTGGTCGATTTCTGAATAAAATGAGTTCAGTTATGTTTGGATTGAACCAAAACTGTACATAAAGTAAAGGCTGATGAATGATAGGCTGTGTGTATAATCTGAATACAACTGTTACTATTTTATAAAATAAGCATTACATTAAGTATAACATGCCATGGTAACAACAGTAAGCAACATTTTTTACACGCTTTTACATGCACGCTATAAAGGGCGAAAAGGGGGTCCAAATAGTCAGGGGAAATCTCCTTCCATTGGGTCAGTTTCCACCATTCCATTTTAAACAAATGTGATGGATATAATTAATTTGTCTCCAACACATAGTCAGATTCTTGTGACTGTGCTGCTATTTTTGACCCGGACTCCCCTACAGGTTTCAAGCGTGTGTACAACAAGTATATCAGTTCCTTAACATTTCAAAGTGTAAATAGCTAAATAGCTAAAGCTGGAAGAATCACGTTTGGTCTTTTTCACACAAAAATGTGCACAATGCGTTCTCTTTGTTCATTTTGATAACTGAGACTCATCCAAGGTTTAGATAAAGTGTCTAGACTGTATTAATCCGTTGACTAATCTACTAGGGATTAATTTTTAACTACTCACTCACCATGTCTATAAAGAAGTTAATCTGGGACCAGAGCATTTCTTCTGCATTTTCTCAATGTATAAATAAAACTAACTCCTTTTTTGTTGTGTGTTCCTTTTCTTTCACAGGTATGCTGCAGAATGGAAAAAAGTTTGACTCGTCTCGAGATAGGAATAAACCTTTTCAGTTCAGGCTTGGAAAGTCGGAGGTCATTAAGGGCTGGGAGGACGGCGTAGCACTGGTAAAACTCCCTCAGCATTACTATACTCACAGGAAGCATCAAGGCATATAAGAAATATAATGCAAACACGTCTTTTGAGCGTTTAACCATCTTACAACATCGTTCTTCAAAAACAGAACTGGAGTTGTTTTTAGATCCATCCATCAAGGTTTCTTGCCTAGATTTAGTTTTTATTGAATCTGAAGTTGCAGAATTCTTCGGTGGTGACACAATCCACACTTACATTGTTGATGATTATACAAATTCTGCAAAGAACTATGCTAAGACTAGTCCAAAGCAGAGTTCATTCAACTTCAGCTAACATACAACATACACTTTAAAGCTTCAAACTTCTGGAATTCAATATCTAGTGAGAAAAGAAACAAATATGATTCATCCACTATTGACAGAGCAGAATCTTCGATACATTGGCATCAGTCTTGGCTCCAAAAAAATCAAATCAGTTGTTCCTTAGTTTTAACAGCCTTTTAATCATAGAGTTTGTGATAGTCTTGCCAAGACAGGACTCAACGGGTGATGATTGAGCAGTGAAGAGTTGAACGTTGCCCATGCTATTTTGACACTTTTCTTTGGCTTGAAAGATAAATGATTACGCATAGTATTTTAACATCCTTTTATCTCTAACAAAATGAGAAAAATTTCAAATTATCAAAATTTGATAACGTTGAGACACTGCTGTCAAATATGTTTTTTTAACATATTGATTTTATTCCATACTGAGAAACATTTGAGGAAAAGTATGCAGCTGTCCCGCCATCAGAACAGGTGCATGGTTTACGTTTAAAAAAAAAACTTTATTTTTATTTTTTTTAGATAATATTCTTGGGTCACTACTGGGGCTGTTTCAGTAAAAGATTTAGGATGGGCAAATGTTCCCAATTATGGCAAAGGGTACTGTAGATTTATTTGAATCTTGTTACTTTCCTCTTGATAATCTTTTAATCTTGTCAACATAAATAAACCACATGTATTGACGCGTGTCTGTTGTACGTTTCAGATGAGCCTGGGTCAGAGAGCTAAACTCACCTGCACACCAGACGTGGCCTATGGAGCTGTTGGGCACCCCGGGGTCATCCCTCCTAACGCCACACTTGTATTTGACGTAGAATTACTTAAACTGGAGTAAAGTCATCCTCAAAGATTTTTAAAAGGCTGCGTTTGTCACAGGGAGAAAACTACCAGCCGCCACCTCCCACAACTTATGTTATTATCGTTTGATTTCTACTTTTTCAGTTCAGTATTTTAAAAGTATTGTATGCTGCTTTGCTCACACCACCACACATGTTTCATCCTGCTTTTCCTGACACATCATGCATAATGTTTGTTGTTTTAAGTAAAAAAATGCTTTTTTTGATTCGTTTTCATCTGTTCTTTTGTTGTTAATAAATTCAATTAAAGTCATTATCCAACCACATAATGTTGCAATCAAAAAACTGCCTTACAGTTCAATCAAGCAGAGGATTGGTGGAGTTTGGCTACAAGTACAATAGCTAATCTTTAATATTCTACCTGGGCATTACCACTGTCTTTATTGCCACTTTGATATAATAAGGTTAGTCCTGCTGAATGCTCTGAATGATGTTGCTACGTTATATTTTATATCCTTCATAACATTTTCTGCTAATGTGCCCTATTCAAGCTAATACTGTACAGAACTCTGACAGCCATTACTACTTATATCGTCCAAATCTCTTGAATAAAATGGCATGTACTGTGTTCAGACAAACTGCTGTTGTCTTTCTTGTTATGTAAGCAGCACGAGGTTGTAGCAGCACTGCCGTCTGCTGGCTGTTTCCAGATGTACAAGTTATGTTATGGGCGTTATTGTTAAAGTAATGGATTTTTCCATTCGTGCATAAAGAAATAGGACAATCCATCATGAGATAAGTATTATATATATATATATATATATATATATATATATATATATAATACTTATTTTTTTTTAAAAAAGCAACACGTTGTCATGGCAGCTTAAAAGAAGAAATGGAGTATTGATTTGACTTTGGTTTTGTTATGTTGGAAGTAATAATGCCATTATATTTATAATAGTTTATATACATAATGGCGACAGTAGCTCAGTTGGTAGAGCATTGGCCTTAAGGCCAGAAGGTCGTGGGTTCAATTCCCACCTCTACACCTTCTCCACCGACTCCCACTGATGACTCCTGTCGTTGTGTCCTTGGGCAAGACACTTAACCCCACTTTGCCCAAAGCCCCCACTGAAAGATCAAGGCTATGCTCACACTCAGAGAGCAGCCGTCCTCCTGTGGACTCACCACCTGCAGAGGGTCAGTGAGGGGCTGGTGCTATGAGACTTGGGTGGCATCTCTGACTGCCACCCCCCTGACCCAGAAATGGATTAAAGGGTAGAAAATGGATGGATGGATATATACATAACAAAAATGAATCAAATCACACTATTATTCCAACTATTTTTTTTTTTTTTTAAGAAAGTGACTATTTACTAACACCTTTCATTTTTGAGTGACACGCATGGCAACAAGTCAATATTCATTTGAATTCCAGTGGTATTATTTTCTTGAATATTTACCATAGAATAGACTGTAGATGCATTTACAATTTTTTTGTAAATATCTATAAAGTACATAGTTGACTATGTGTCATCGAAATTTGTTAGGAAGCACTCAAAAAACCATGGATGTGTAGATCATTATAGATGGATCTATAATGTGTTATATATTTATATTTATAAAAAACACGGTTTACTTCCGCCATTAAGATGTACATCCGTGAACGCTGCCCTCTGATTGGATGAAGCTCACTCTTATGAAACGTCATTGGTTAAACTTTCACACGCCTTTTACATCACCCCGAAACAGCTCTTCCACAAGGTCAGAAATAAATCTAACATCAGTAATTTCTCTGTGCACATTACATATTATAACGAGGCTATGGGACGGATGTCACTGTATGTAGTCTACGATGGACAATGTTGGGGTTTTGCACATTTTTAGCAAGCCAATGTGACTGAATACACTTCTCTAGCGCTATGTTAATATGAAAATCATTTACTATTAAAACTCACTCGATTAGATATAACATGATCTAAAGATATGATCTAATGCACAAATTAGCATGGGTTCTGCAGCAACGAGCGACTCTGTTATGCTAACAGCTAGCTGAGCTAGCTGTTAGCATAACAAAGCGGTGTGTGTGAAAGTATAAATGGGAATGTATTTTTGAAATAACACAATTACTTAAAACGCACGGCTTTAGTAGTATCGTCTTCTGAAAAGAATATGATTGTGTCGGACTCTTACAACGTTGGGTGGAAGAAGCAGCTCTTAGCTCAAGATTTTTCCAATAAATCTCAAGTTTTTGATTCCTGTCAATGAGAGCTGATTAGTTTATATGTGTCCATATGTTTCCATAAAAAGTATGAATGTTTTATGCATTTGATGTTTTGAGTAATTCCACATTTTCTTGATCAACAATTTTATTATTAGATATAATCCTAAAGTGAGAAAGTTCCTTAGAAATCAGGGTGTCCTTTTATTTTCATCCTTTGCCAGTTGAAATTCAATGTGACACTAAGATGAGACAAGGATTGCTAATAGCAATAGATTTCGGTGAGCCTTTATTCTCAAAGTATGATGTAATTTTGATTTTATATGACAAACAACACAAACGTGATCTCTATATTTTGAGTCCATTTCCCAAAACCTTTTGGTTATATTTTAGTTTTTAAAGTATATGCAGCTCTACATCTCTGACCTAACACACATATATTGGCCTATAGAAATATTAGTAATTTTGATAATCATTAAGTCTTTATAAACATCACTAGTAGAATTTACTTACTCATCAAAATATATAAGGGGGGAAATTATATGATAGATTATTTAGTCCTTTAGACAATGAAACAATGAAAAAAAAGATATTGGATGAACCAATTAGAGATCATTGTTGTTGGATCAGTTTCAGTTCTATAATCTTGGTCGCGTAGAGCATTTTGATTGTTGTAATACGATTATTTACTGGCTATATAGAATTTTAATTTCCACCATTCAATTTGTTTTTTTTTTCACTTGCACATAGACCATATGTAAACAACTGTACACATGTTGTAATAATATAACTGGGAAAAGAAGCAGAAATCATTCTCTAATCTGTGTAGTTGTGTTATTTTCAGGCGGCCCATGCTTGTCTGAAGGTGACTGAGGCAGCATGTTGTCAGCACACAGAGCTCTTTCTGCACGTCATCTGTTCAAAGCCTCCGTTGGCACCTCAAGCTCTCCCTGCTCCTTGCTTCACACCAGCCTCCGATGTCGAGATCAGGTCGAAATTCATCCGGAGTGGGCCAGCCTGGCGAAGAAACAGCTCAAAGGCAAGGATCCAGAAGACCTGATATGGCGCACACCTGAAGGTCTGAATATCAAGCCTGTGTACACCAAAGCGGACTCGGCCTCCAGCCCCGATGAGCTCCCAGGAGTCTTTCCCTTCACTAGAGGGCCCTATCCCACCATGTACACTTACAGACCATGGACCATCAGGCAGTATGCAGGCTTCAGCACGGTGGAGGAGAGCAACAAGTTCTATAAGGATAATATCAAAGGTAATATCAATGTTGCTGCAATTACTAATAAACTAAACAAGGTTGTCAAAATGATTACAAATCATATTTATCAGTACTAAAACCCCAAACTAAGTAAGAACTGTAAGTAATCAATATTTTTTTTATATAGAACCTTTCACAGACCAGAGTCACAAAGCACTATATAATAGTTGTGGGCATTTGTCTCTCACTCCACACAGAAATAGAAGCAAGGTCGCCAGGCCGCATGCCAGACCTGCTGTACTGACCACATTGACCAAACAGAGCAACAAGTTTGAGTTTATATTACTGACTGATTTTTATTTTACTTTATATTATGATCGTAGGTTGACCACATGATTACATTCATTTAAAATGTTTTTATTTGTATTATTTTTTTTTTTTGATTTTTTATGAGTGGCTGGTGCTAAGTGTACTGGGTGCAGCTCTGACTGCCACCCCCCTGACCCAGAAATTGATTAAGGGGAAGAAAATGGATGGATGGATGGATATATTTTTATTTATTTAATGTGTGCAGTTGCTTGGATTGGATCAAAGTAGTATTATTTGGGCTATAACAAGTTAATCATTTATTGTTAATCACAACTACTGTAATCAATTAAATATAAATAATAATCATTATTATGATTATCATTATTATTTATATTTAATTGATTAGTTTTAGTAATCAATCCATTGTTTCTGGACCTTACATAGACTTAAACTTGCTGAGAAGAGGTACAGTATTACGACAAAAATCAAACAATCCAAAGTGTAAAAAGTAAAATCTCCTATGACTCAAGCCCTTTATATAAGAATTGTTAATTGCTTAGCCAATTTATGTTTATTGAATATTTTGGGTTCAATGATGACGGTTGAATAAATCAATTTATTTTCTTTATTATTTGATACTGATAGCAATGCCTTGGTTTTATACACAGCTTTCACATGGCATTATTCATACACCAGTTTGTGCCATTGCACTCTCCAACCACCAGCAATCATTCACGCACACACCAGACACATAGTAGGCCCCAATGTGGCACCTGGTGTTCACAGATGTCTCCCATCACAGTACTAACCAGGCCTTGCCCTACTTAGCTTCTAAAGTCTGCCGGGATTTCACATGCAGCTGGTGCTATAAATAAGCTCGTAAATGTTTTATAAAATGTCATATTACTCGCAGTGGCAGCAAGACTAATATTAATCTTTCTGAAATTCACAAACTACCATTTTGCATGTGGTTGAAGATCCTGTTGTAAACATGTTTTAAAACAATAAAACATAAACAGGTCCAAAACAATAACTGTGTATTTGTGCTGTTTATAATATGAAAATTCAAAAAACCTAAACTTTTCTGTTCCCGAGGTCGTAGTGCTTTCTATTGTATTATATGTAAGAAGGTTGTGGAAACCATGACATATTGGTGGTGAGACAGTGAGGGGGCTTTGATTGGGTAGAAACTATCTTCTTTGGAGCTGTCAGACTAGCCATGAAAACTTTTCTTTGATTTCTTTTGTAAATCCGTTTGAGAAAGGATGACACCAGGGGAAACGAGCAATTTCACAGAACAAAGATGGGACAAACGATTGGCTATCACCTCCCGCAAGTGTAAAACTCCTGAACATGTGATAATAGGTAACCATAGTTTGCATTAACAGGTGCCATTCCATCAGAAAAAGTCAAAGGTTTACTGAGAATCTTGTGGTACCTTTTAAAAAGTACTCTTGCATTGCATAAGTACATATTATTATCCACTATTCATCACTGTAGTATCCAGTATCTTGTTTATTCATTGATATTGAAATACACTTTCTAATTCTAGTGTCTTGACAACAGTAGAAGAGAGATTTTGCTTCCCCTCTACTGAATAGATTATAAACTATTACGTACCTTTTTTCATAGATTTTTTTTTTTTTTTTTACAAATCGATCAATCACAACATTGTCAACTAATGTATTTGTTATGTCATGCATTGACTTTGAAACGTGATGTGAATAGAGATTTCATTTAATTGGCTCAGAATAGGTGAGAATTTGTTCAAAATGAAACTGCAAAAAAGCAGTGCATTATATTCGAATGATTAAAGTAAATTAAAACAAAACGCTCAGCATAAATGTTTATGCCACAAAGTCAAAAGAGTATTCAAATTCAATGATTTCTCACATTTGAAATCTAGACCAGAATGGTCTAGAGACTGTTCAGGGACACAAACAAAAGATTAGTTTACAGAGTAAAATCTCAGCTTTGTACAAACAATTGGTTTAGTTATTCAGAGCACTGAACCAATCAGTCTGTGTGTGGTGCATAATCCCTCTCTTTGATGTTAGTGTGCTAACTGAGGGCATATTTATTTATGGTTCAAAACAAACTAGAATGGGAAATGTGCCAAAAAGATAAGAGACTAGAGATGGTTTGAATGTTTTCCATCAACAGGAAAAGCCCAGTGAGGGAAACGGAGATAGACTCACTATAGGCTCATAGGCTCATAGGCTCCCCAATGGTAGGGAGAGTATAAAACATTTCTATCTTTATTTTTAATGCAGCCCAAACTCTAAATAGACAGTGTGTGTTCTTTTCCTCACATTTTGATATAATCATGTCATTGTTGTTTTGTCATGAATTTTTTATTTCTTCCCATATTAGGGTGAATTGGTCACATTAGTTTTAATTGTAGTCATGCAGTTGAAAATAATCCAATATGACTGAAATCCACAATTCCCAACCCAGTTTGATAAAGTAATGTTTGTTTGGATGGGGCTGAGGGGTCTTTTTGAAGTATTGTCACAAGAAAAACTTTTTGGAAGATGATATATGCAACAGTAAGTAGTGAAACTAGTTAATACCACTGACACATCATAATAAAGCTGTATAAGAGTAGCATAATTGCCTTCTTAAAAACAGGAGGAGTGAGTGCTACAGGGTCCAAATGTTAAAAACTTAAGTAAAATCAGGTGCTCTTCAGGATGAGAAATAGCATAGCAAACAAAGATACCCTTTCTGTGGAAAAGTAAACACAGGGTAAAATCCGAGGCACTCTGATAAAAAAGTCCTTTAATGAGGGAAAGGGACCAACGTGTTTCGGCCACGCAGGGCCTTATTCAGGGCAGTGCCCTGGTCCCTTTCCCTCATTAAAGGACTTTTCATTAATCAGAGTGCCTCGGATTTTACCCTGTGTTTACTTTTCCACAGAAAGGGTATCTTTGTTTGCTAGCATAATTGCCTAATTGAACCCATAAAATGCAGCCATTACAAACAAAAAATGCCAATATCTCTGTCATTGCTAAATAAGTGAATACTGATGTGTTACTTTAAATTATATGACACGAGGCTCAGGTTTGGTTTTGACGAGGGAACAACAGTGGAAATATGGTTAAAACCTCAAAGACGACATTATGATGTGTTACTTAAAGAGTAAACATTTTGGTCTTCAAAGTCTTAATAGACTTAGATTTCAATGTTTATAAGTTATGTGATTTCTTTTTGACAGCTGGCCAGCAAGGTCTGTCCGTGGCCTTTGATCTCCCCACACACCGCGGCTACGACTCGGACAACCCTAGAGTCCATGGCGACGTCGGCATGGCGGGCGTGGCCATTGATACGGTGGAGGACATGAAGATGCTTTTTGACGGCATTCCCCTGGAGAAAATGTCTGTTTCCATGACTATGAACGGAGCAGTGATCCCGGTTCTGGCCATGTTCATCGTGACCGGAGAGGAACAGGGCGTTTCCAAGGCCAATCTCACGGGCACCATCCAAAATGACATTTTAAAAGAGTTCATGGTTCGAAATACCTACATTTTCCCTCCAGAACCTTCCATGCACGCCATAGCGGATATCTTTGCCTACACATCAAAGGTAACCATTCGAACAAACAGAAGCATCTGGAGGAAAAAAGTAACAGGCTTTCAATAGGATTTTAGAATATTTCATATTTCAAAAAACACTCTTGCGCATTGTAGCATTACGTGTTCCCTTGACAACACATGAGGCAGTTCCAGGCTGTTCACACCCCCATCTCTACCAGTGCAGGTTATAGTGGCAAACTGTTTTCATCTCAGTGAACAATCAGTCTTAGTGTTTTTGGTAGCTTCCCTAGGATTTTTTTTTTTACCCAATATTTATTCCGGCAATAAATATTGTTTTATGCCACATGTCTATGCTCTGCAGTCTCGTGGATACAAAGTGCATTTATAAATTTGTTTTTTGGATTGGTGACATTAAATCATCATCATTAAATAGTTCTTAAATGTGATCTGACAAAACCTGAGGCGATACTGAAAACATGTATTTATTTATTTGTTTCAATTGTAGACAAAAACATTATTTTGATTCCCAGAGTAGCCATCAAATCTTGTTCATTCAGTTCCATTTGAATAGTCCTTTATATAAATAAAATACTTACTATGTCAATGCTGCGTATTCATATTACAGAGATGAGGAAGGCAGAGTGAAAAAATACTTTTGGGCTTTAGTGCAGAGGAGAAAATTAACCATAAATAATATCCCCATAATCCAAACCACGTGGTACTTATGACTTAATCATCTCATGACTCAATAATCTCATAATTATGACTTATGCAGTCAGTGTTGAACGAGCCACATACAACCTGAATTAAGGGAGAGTTGGTTAATAAAATGACCCCCTATTACCAAACCTTTTTTTTTGCTGTTTCTGACCTAATTCAGTCATAATTATGAGATGCGTCCTCCATAGTATGTAGGATTTATTTCTTCAATACTGACTTTTCCGCGCAATTAATATAACTTTGTCTCTTTTCTTCAGTTATAATGATGGTGTTCTTCCCACAGAATATGCCAAAGTTCAACTCCATCTCTATCAGCGGATATCACCTGCAGGAAGCCGGGGCCGACGCCATCCTGGAAGTGGCCTACACCATCGCCAATGGGCTGGAGTACTGCCGCACGGGGCTGAAGGCAGGACTAACCATAGACCAGTTTGCGCCCAGGTTTGGCTAATGATTCTGTTTCTTTTCAACTGTTCTGCATTTCTTATTGTGAACAAAGACTACCACAAACATACACCTGGAATGTTCACAAAAGCTCAGAAACGCATTCAGATTCAGTATAATCAAATATTTGTGCAAAAATTTCCACTGTGCATAATAGAAAACAAAACACTGAAGACAATATAGACACATACAGGAAAACAATTGACACAGTGAAATAAGATTTAAAACAGCATGTACAAAGCCCCAGGGAACGAATGACAAAATTAACATACTTTTCTGTTAGGGCAGTAAATAATGTATCATTTTATTACAATTTAATTATAGTAAATTATGAATTTCCCCATGTTTTCACCATTTCAATGTTTGATTTGCTTTTTTGCTCTCAAACCATCATACACTAAGAAAGACAAGAGGACAAAAAATGCACAAGCTCTGATACCTGTCTAAATTATATTTTCTGGTTGAATTAGCCCGGTTTGTTGTGTTGCTAGATCAGCCACTCAACTGCAGATAATAGCCTCACCTGATACAAGTAATCACCAGAAATACTGTTAAAGATCTACGTAGACATTTTTTGATCCGTTAATATTATTCAGAGATCCACACTTTGCAAACAGAAGACTGAAGAGAGATTTTTCAAAAATCTGTTTTACACCAATAATGTTGTAATTTTTCTAATTTCTTGTGCATTATGTACAGGGCCAAATGCTTTTTTTTTTTTTTTTTTAAACTAAATCTCATATAATTGTTTAGGTATTTTATCAAATCCCTCCTTATACCTTCATTGTTTTTGGAAAGGCCCTTTTAAGAACTTATTTTTTGTTCATTGCTAGCATGGAGTTTAGAATTTAGTTTACGTTTACTTTTGTAGACTGTCCTTCTTCTGGGGCATCGGGATGAATTTTTACATGGAGATCGCTAAGCTGAGAGCGGCACGAAAACTCTGGGCCACACTCATCAAGGAAAAGTTTGATCCGAAAAGCGCAAAGTCCCTCCTCCTCCGCACACACTGCCAAACATCCGGCTGGTCCCTCACTGAACAGGTGGGTGCAAAGAATGGACAGAAGCAAAGAAAAGACCTGCAATACACAATCTTATTCAATAGGAAAGACAACCGTTTCCCTGTTTTTTCAACGACACCTATAATGCTAAATCAGAGTTTAGAAAATCTTTCGTCTCCAAATTACACCTGAGAATATTATTTTCAGATTACGTTCACTGCCTTTGTTTGCCTGCTTTGACATATTCTAACATGATTTTAAAGGCTTCCATTGGGCTGTTGCTTTTCTTTTCTCTCCTCTGATTTTGTGCAGAATTTTTGATGATAAAAATATAGCTTTAAAATGTCTTAAAACATGCCATAATAGCCATATAGCCTCTTAGTAAAAATGGAAAATCAAAACAAGGGCCTTTTCTTGCAGGCTGTATTTGTCAAGTCTGCCTTAGGGAATTTGTGTAGCAGCCATTTTCACACAGCACACAGTCAAAACCAAAATAGCGTACACATAACAGTGCAGCTGCAAACATCTTTTCAAAAACAAACTCATTCAAAACAGGATGTATGGTGTCACAGAGAGCAGCCCGCACTTTTTGTGGCGCTCTCTCTAAAACTCATGAGAAGTTTCTTTGAAAAAGTCACGTAAAAGCGAAAATAAATCACACCTTACATGCTGTCTTCATCTTCACTTTGAGCTGAGTTTTCCAGTTGGATGGATTTTTAAAAATAATTATTTTATCCTTTGAAGGTGAGGTAGTCCAATTTTAATACATTAGGATAACTATGGCTATGTATTATGAGATTTTTAATGAAAACCTTCCATCAGCAAGGGAGCAAGCAAGTATTCAAATGAACTTTTTTATTGACCAAATACTTATTTTTCACAATAATTTGCAAAGAAATTATTAAAAAGGTATACTTATGATGAAAATCACAATCCTCCCACATCTTTTTAAATGCTAGAACTTGCACAATTGGTGGCTGACTTAATACTTTATTGCCCCAATGTATCTCCTAGGTAAAAGAGTTGTCCTGTTATGGGCTAGAATAATAATTTGTCAAGTGAATTATTTTTTTAAATAGATTTTACAAACTACAACCGATCGTATGAGACTACCCAAGACCACGCTCTCTGACCCTACGCCTCTCCAACTACTTGCTCTGTGCTAAGGCTGAACCTAATGTTCACCTAATTGATATAGGTTTAATATGATACATTCTACAACTCCCATCTAATCTGCACACTTACCACATAGCACTAAGACCTCAAACCAAGAATAACATGTTTTCTATCTTCCGCAGGACCCATATAACAACGTGATCCGCACTGTAATTGAAGGCATGGCCGCTGTCTTTGGCGGCACTCAGTCCCTCCACACCAACTCATTTGACGAGGCGCTGGGATTACCCACGGTGAAGAGCGCCCGCATCGCTCGAAACACACAGATCATTATCCAAGAGGAGTCTGGGATTCCTAAAGTGGCTGATCCCTGGGGGGGGTCCCACATGATGGAGGCTCTCACTAATGATGTCTACAATACTGCCCTCAAGGTAAAACTATGCACCTCTAACAAGCTAATACTGGAGACTTATTCATCTGACGTGGTTTTATGGAAATATGGAAGTCTAGACGTGTGACTGTTTCCTAAGTGAATTAGATCACTATTGAGATTCCAAAATGTTGAATGAGCCACTGTTGTCATTAGAAATAGCAAATGAATAGTCGACAAAACAGCCTTCACGGCACGCTATGTAACCACGAGGGCACAGTGGTTAGTACTTGTACTTCACAGCAAGAAGATCCTGGGTTTGAGTCCACTTCCCCACAGACCTTTCTGTGTGGAGTTTGAGAAGTGGTGGGAAAACAGATGGAATTTATCCGAAAGCTACGATCTGGTTTATTTACAGAGCTGCTGTTTTTACTACTAAAAAATAATTGGTAAAAACGGTAAAGTAACAGTAACAGTTGCAAACACATTTTGTGGAAAAAGTACAGTTATTTGACTGCATGTCCACATGCTGAAAAATGCTCACATAGAAGTGTGTGTGTGGTTTATTTTTTTATTTTATTATTTTTAAATCACTAGACCCTGATAATGACAACAGTTGCAAACTTTTTACAAACAATTTGAACTTGCACACTTCCTAACTGAAACTATCCTATTAGTTCTTCTGTTTCTAGTTATATACATTTTCCTTATTATTCTTCACACGTATGCTTCACAAATGTGCAAGGCCTGCAAGGTCGCATGGCGCCGTAAAGATGGCGCCGTGGCAAGAGTTCTGGTGTGTGTCGTCTGGTGCACAATGGGGTAGTCTTGCACAGTTTTTCCAATGTGGTTTTACTGCAAATGGCAAATAAATGAATCTGAGGTATTTTTGTTCTGTTTTATCCCTGATGAGTTCCTGTATTTCATCAATGTCAGAAGTTTGAATCCTCTGAGCACTCACAATCATTCATGCTTTCTTTTTATTTATTTGAAATAATTAGTCTTTTTTTATAGTTCTACAAAGAAGGTGCTATTTTGTAAAGGTATTGGTTAATGGTTCGAAGTTTCATAGAGGCCGAGGAGAACCAACCTCCAACCTCCCCTGCTCTTCTCCCTGTACACCAACCACTGCACCTTCAGCCACAACTCCGTGAAGCTCATCAAGTTCGTAGATGACACCACCCTCATTGGACTCATCTCCAACAACGATGAGTCCGCCTACAGGAGGGAGGTGGACCGGCTGGTGTCCTGGTGCAGTGGTAACCTGTAGCTGAACGCCCAGAAGACAGTGGAAATGAAGGCAAAACACAGCCCCCCCTTAACACCATCATCATCGTCACCCAGGACCTCAAGTGGGAGCCCCCAGACATTTTTTTTTTACACGTTTATTGCAGTAATTTTTGTTAATATTTTTCACGAGGAGTTAGTGGACATGTGTGCCTTTTAATATGAGCGGCCTTTGTGGGAATGGTTATATTCAAAGTATTAGAGTAAAATTAGTTTGTAAAACACCTGCGACGCAGCGACACGAAGCAGGAGCCGCAGTTCTGAGCGGAGCCAGAGCAGAGCCAGAGGTCTCCAGAGATCAGAGAAGTATTTGGTACTGGCTCACTCAGATTCAGAGGAGGAAGACACGCAGTGAAGCAGATACAGACATTATTAGTGACAGGAGTCCGCGCCACAATAGTCCACAGTCACCCACAGTTTGCGTCCTCCGTGTGGCCCCGTGGTAAAGAGGCCCGGCTTTTCGGAGTCAGCGGTAAAGCGGTCCGCACATTAAAAGCGGATAGCCGCTTTATGCTGTTACTCACGGTAACATTGGAAAGAGAAGCCGCGGGGATGAGCCGCCACAATGCACTTTTTAACATAAAGCGGCCACCCGCTTTTAATGTGCGGACCTCTTTACAGCGGTGTGTGGCCGCAGTGGAAACATTCTGCGAACGCGAGGCAGGGGACGTGGTGAAGGGAACAGGGGGGTCATAACACCGGGCATGTGGGTGAATGCAGCGGGGATAAAAACAACCGCGGGGAACGCGGGAGACGTGGCAGAAGCCGCGGAAGAAAACACACAGCTAATCTGCCTTTACGGACGGAGATGATGATGATGAAGGCAGAGAGGAAGAAAATCCATAAAAGTGGATCAGAAATGTTGAAGAGCCTGTTGTTTATTGTTGAGACAATCTGACAAGTTCTGAGTCCATTCATTTAATCGTTATGTTTGATGAATTCTGGAGCCTCATTTCCACTGAGACAAACAGTATGCCACCAGGTCTTTTGAAAGGGTAATATTGAAACCAAACTGCAGATTTCATGACTGGTAAACTATAAGCAGTGCCATCTTGATCATTGAAGGTCTAATACATGATACAATTCCATATGGCTGCTGACCAGTGCTAAAATATTCTATATACATTGGATCTGTGAATTCATTCCTATCCCACATTGTGTTTTCATACTAAAGGTATTTCACGTTGACTGTTGACAGTATTCCCTGATCTCAAAATACACTCTCAAACTACAGCTTTTTGAAATCTATATACAATAAACATTTTCCAAAATGGCCACCACCTTGATGACGTCACAGTATGCAAATTAGATTAACAATCAACATCCATCCCAAAGTTTGGTTCATACTGAAGATATTTCTCATTTACAATATGCCTTCATCTCAAACTACTTTAAAGTTATAGCCTTTTGAAATCTTGAAATCGAAATTGTAAATTTTTTTGAAAGAAATGGGCTTAGTGCTGTGTGAAAATCCCTCGTCAATGGCCTGGGCTCTGCACCGTGCTCCTCTTTGCTGTCGTCGTTGCAACATGTCCAGAAGTTCAACTTTTCAGCACTAACCATGTTGTGGGTTTAGTCCATGGTTTTGTCAAGGAGAAAATTAGCATACAGCACTTACAGTCACACTGCTAGCTCTCAGACAAAGATTTACATTTGTCAGTGTGAATGCTGTGATACAGGAAACACTGCACAGAGATTACCCCTTAGCCAATCAGGACGCAGAACACAGTACGCTGGTTCTTCCTTAGCCAATCAGGATGAACATTGCAAGTTCATATACAGTGAAAATCATGCTACAAATAAATCTGCAAGACCGCGAAAAGAGAACCTCTATTCAGCTGAGGAGACTCCGATTCAGAATAAATAATAACACATTTTTCCTGTATGGAAGTGTCTGATTTGGTTTTTGTATGTAATTTTTTTTACTATCATGTTTTAGATTATAGATTAGACAGTGAGCCAGATCAGATATATCCCAATGAAAAAAATGTTTTTGCACTTTATGATGTGAGAATTGTATACATGCATGTGTAAGAAAATTGAGGGGGGGATATCCCCCCTTGGGCCATGGCTAGGGGGGGACTGATCCCCCCCCCCCCCCCCTCTGGAGGAAACCCTGTAAGTCATTTTACTGCTCTTTATAAAGCCACTTTACTGCCGTCACCTTACTGCACTGCTTGATGTATATTGTGTGCACCGAGTGCACTTGTTTATAGTAATATTTGTAATCATTTTACTTTTTAATCTTTTTATATTTTTAGAATATGTTAAACTCAAGAAATTTTATTTTTAATTTTTATTATTACTTGTTTGCACCAAGAGCCAAAGCCATTTCCTATTCTGTGACTTACCTGTTACTTACATGGCATTAACAATGATTCTGATTCTGAAATAAAGTGTTGTTTTTTTCTTCAACTCAATTGATAAAGTCGTAAAATAACACAGCGTTTTCTTGTTTCCATTCAGTTCATTAAAGAGATTGAGGAGATGGGGGGGATGGCCCAAGCTGTGGCAGAGGGCATTCCCAAACTGCGCATTGAGGAGTGCGCTGCTCGCAGACAGGCGCGCATAGACTCAGGTAAGACAAAAAAAAGACAAGTACTTGCTAGAAGGCCCATCTCCGTAAAAAAACAAACAAAAAAACTCTTGTCCACGTGTTCACCTGTTTTATTTCAGCCCTCTTCTGTCTTTCACCTCTTCTCTGCTACCTTCAGAGACATTACTTTGCTTTTGCAGCACTTCCATTTTGTCCGAAATCACAAAAAACTAGCTTCAGCTTCTAACCGGCGATCCACTAAGCATGTGTAGCTAGACATCCAATTTCTTGCCTTGATCGGTCCTGAGAATAATGATTGACAAGAAGGTATTGAGGTAGACCAAACCGAATATCCCATTTTAAAGACTTTTGGTAAAGATGTTTAATTGATTTATGATCAAATTTGGAAATTAAACTTTTGTGTAATTTATTTGTTTCATGAAAATGCATAATTATACAAGTTTCAAATCATTCAAACAAATCATTCAATCATTTCCATGATCAGAAAGGAGCAGATAGAAGAATATTATTCTTATATAATTCTGCCCCCTCTTTTACAAAACAAAATTATATGGTTTTGCTGCTGATTCCTCTGCCTTCTTTATAAACACTTATAAGCACATACAATATATATATATATATACATACATACATACATACACACATACATATATACACATACATACATATACATACCCGCACATACATTTCATAATAAACATAACACGTAATTAAACATCACTTTTGTAGATTTGGATTTGTTTCCTCTTGTAAGTCTGTTTGAATTCTAAAATGGTTTTACAACTTTGTAAGTCTTTTTCTTGAGAATTCCACAATTTTACTCCAACAACAGATAAACTCATCTGTTTTAAAGTTGTTCGTGCTATTGGATGTTTGAAGTCATATCTCCTTCTATGATTTTGTTTTTCTGAAGTAAACACAAATAACTGTTGTAACTCTTCTGGAAGAGCTCTGTGACTGGCTTTAAACATGATCAATAAAGTTTGTAACTCTACTATATCCTTAAACTTAATCAGTCCTGATCTAATGAAAAGGGGATTAGTGTGATCTCTAAATCCAGCTTTATAAACAATTCGAATGGCTCTTTTCTGTAATAGAACTAAAGGCTGTATGTTGGTGCTGTAAGTATTACCCCATATTTCTACACAGTAATTAAAATAAGGAAGTACCATTGAGCAATATAACATTCTCAAAGTGTTACATGGTAACAAATATTTTGATTTATTCAATATAAATAAACTTTTAGATACCTTATTTTTTACATGCATTATATGTGATTTCCAAGTTAGTTTGTCATCCAAGATCACTCCAAGAAATCTAATTTCCGACACTTTCTCAATATTTACATCATTAATAGATATTCTAACTTCCGGTTTTATTTTATTGCCAAATATCATAAACTTTGTTTTTGTCAAATTTAAGGATAATTTATTTACATTAAACCACAAATTTAGTTTAACTAATTCCAGTTTAACCTCCTCAGCTAAACATTTTAAATCATCTCCTGAGCAAAAGAAGTTTGTATCATCTGCAAATAATACATGCTGAAAAATGTTTGAGACCTCACAGATATCGTTTATATATAAAATAAATAATTTGGGTCCTAAAATTGAGCCTTGTGGAAGTCCACATTTAATATTCAAGCTCTGTGACCTGTGGCCATCAAACTGAACATACTGTTGTCTCTGATGTAAGTAACTGCTTAGCCAATCCAGCACCACTCCCCTCACTCCATAGGTGTAAAGTTTAGAGATGAGAAGTGAGTGGTCTATTGTGTCGAAAGCCTTCTTTAAGTCAATGAAAATTCCGATTGTGTATTTCTTTTTGTCAATTGCTGTTGATATGTGTTCTACAATTTTCATTATGGCTAAGCTTGTCGCCCTATTGGACATTCATTCAATAGTTTATTTTTATCTATGAAGCTGTCCAATTTTTTCACAAACAATTTTTCTAATATTTTAGAAAATTGAGATAGCAGTGAAACTGGTCTGTAATTGTTAAATTTATGTTTATCTCCATTTTTGAAAAAAGGAATTAACTTAATGAAGTATATTTCCTAATATTTCTGTTTTGTAAATGCATTTTGTAAGAGTCAGTGGTTCGATGATTCAAGTGTTCCCATAGCTTTTTACAGTTCATCATGTTTCAGTAACTCTGGAAACTATTGTAGTGTCCTTGAGGAAGACACTCCAGTCTCCTTCACTCTTGAGTGTGTTGAATGAACGCCACAGATGTGCCTACATTAGTAACTCCCAAGGCTACTTTCAAAGCTGCCTCCCACCTCCATTTGCATTAAGATGACATTGTCATAATAAATATCAGTATAAAAACATGCACAACAAAAATCTACCTGCTAATCTGAACTATTCCGTGATCAGACTGGAAAGCTGTGCAGAGCAGCTCTCTGCTAATGAAAGGAGACTCATGAGCTTTTAAACTAGTGTTACCACTTCTTAAAATCAGAGTTATTATAAATACAGGTGGTGATGAATTGCTGATGTAACCACAGCTGCTCTGGGGCACACTGACAGAAGCGGGGTCTACCAGTATGTTCCATTGGCCCCTTAGGCCAACACCAACAGGCCATGCATGCACACACGCACACACACATGCACACACTATAGACTGACTCACACACACACACACACACACACACACACACACACACACACACACACACACACGATCTGTCCTTCACATGTCATGCAGGTATGGCCACGATAAAGGATTTAAATAATCTTTTCATCCTCTTTCCTGATTATTCAAAGTATTTGACTTTATAGCAGAATTATGAGTCTGTCATTTGCGTTGCTAGTTTCTCCAGTTAAAAATGTCTGACTCCTGCTGTAAAGCAAAACAGCAAATCAAAAACAAGAGAATGATCTTACCACTTGCCCCGAACCCCACTTTGGGAAGCAGTAATCTGGTGTATAGCTCTGTCCCTGTGTATGTAATGAGTGGCTTGCCCTGATTCTCACATTTACATAACATTATTGATTCTCACGGCTTTGAGGTGTGATAGGCCACACTTCACCTCACTATAAGGAATATAAAAACTAGATAAGACAGCAGCTCTATTATAGTATTTATCTCTGTATTTGACATTTCATTAATACCCTGGCCTGAAGCTGAACCACTATAGACAACACATGTTTGCAGTAATCCCTGTTCCTCATTTATATTCATTGGCTCCCTGCTTAGCTCTACTGAGACATGTAAAAGCTCAACTAAACCCTCTCACCATGATGTATCCAGTACATTATACATCAAGTTACTCACACACATGCACGCACTGTTGAAAACTTTCCAATTAACTCACTGACTGCCAGGCATTTTCAGATTTGAGAAGTGCATTCTGCCAGCAATTTCAGGTGATTTGACCCAACTTTGAAGTGCCACAGAATATTCATTTTTTAGACGATGTAAACACCAAGGGCACCAAATTAAAGATTCACCTCTCTGCTTTACTCTGAAAAAAACAGTTTGTTTCTACCTCTTACCGTTCTTGCGTTATTCGCCATAGAACAAAGCATACTTTCACCCATAACACCTGGTCTGAGCAAGAAAACAGAGAAAAGGAGCTGTATGTAAACAGGAACATATCAAGCAGAAAAGAGACTTTTAGATGCATTTTTGCTGCTTTAGTGACAACTCAAAACATCTCCACACTTGTTCCATTACAAAAATTATAAAAACATGACTCTGAAATAATACTTTTGATGGCAAATTGTTGGCAATTTATTCACAGATAGAAAATTTAACTTTCTTCTATACCATCAACCAAAACGTCAAACAACAACAACACAAAGATCAATAAAACTATAGATGTATAAAATAGAATGAAGCATGTGAATGTCAGTGTGCGAGTGAGTGTCTGTGTGAGTGAGTGTCTGTGTGAGTGAGTGTCTGTGTGAGTGAGTGTCAGTGTGTGTGAATGTCAGTGTGCGAGTGTGTGTCTGTGTGCGTGAGTGAGTGAGTGAGTGCGTGTGAGTGTTTGTGAGTGTGTCCGATAAATCATGATCAGGTTTGCTGAACGAATCTGAGGCATCAGTAACAGCAGCAGCTGATACGCTGAGAGAGGCGGAGGGCGTGTCTCTGCTCGGGGCTCTTGCTCCGCGCAAATGTGGCTGCAGAGACGGACCTCCACCGGGGTCTCCGCTCTCTCCCCTCTCGACCTCACTCACTGATCCGCGAGTCAATCCCTGAAGCAGTGTATACTGCTTATAACTATTCTTTTTCGCCATCACTCTTACTATACTATCGCTAAACTAGATCGCTGATCTGTCTCAATGCTCGCACGCTCTGCTACAGAAGCACGCTCTGCTACAGCAGCACGCTGTCCAAAGATCCCACACTCCTCCTCCTTCTCTCCACTGACTTATGACCTCTCCTGTGGTGCAATACTGCATCCTACTGGTGGTGATTTATCATTACAGGTACATTTGCACTATATATCAGTGTTGTGGGTCATTAACAAGGTGCGCCAGACATTACTGCAGCCTCCCGTGTAATAACACGAAAAAGTCGTCTAAGTCGTCTTGGGCAGTGAGCGTCACTATACAATAGAACGACTTTTGTCGTCATGGGCAGTGAATGAGTTAAGAAAGGCGATTGATAGTGTTAGGTTTTCCAATGAGTGGAATACAACGTTGGTTTTAGGATTGAAAAGTAAACCGGTGTGTTCTAAAGTTCTTGCTTTTTGGTAGTTAACACATGTCAGAGGAGTGCATTCATTCAAACAGACATAATAGATATTTTGTTGGACCCATGTCTCATAGAGCACAAGTAAATACAGTTTTCTGTGTCGGAATGGTTATTTTATATTTAGTCATTGTGTAGTATTTTAGAGAATGCACACTGTCTCTATGTGTCTTAGTTCTGAGCACGTTGCTTTTGGATAGGCTGGTGATAATGGTAATATTGTAACTACTACTGTACAGCCTTTATATTTTGTTGTTGTTGAACTTTCCTTTTAACAACATCATTCTTCTTCTCACATCTTTACACTTTTATTAAATCAA